AATGCCGAAGCTATGGGTGGAGAGGTGTGCCCACGGGGGCTCCTGCTCTGGTCTGACTTCTGAGGGTGTCCCCGAGGGGTGGGCATGGGAGAAGGAGCTCCCAGCACTGTAGAGGGGCAGCAGCTTTACAGTTCAGACTAGAAGAGACCAAGCCAGAGGAAGTCAGGTGCTGAGGAGCAGTATGACGTGCGAGGTGCTCTGCTTTCCTGAAGATCTCTATTCCTCTCTCTACCCTCTGGGGCCAGGAAGTCTCAAAAGCCTTTCCACCCTCTTCCTTATCGGCATCTTCCGTCTGGAAAGGATCTGACAGTCTCACTTGTCAGAAAATAAATAATGACGAGGCTTGGCGTATTCCATACCCTTAAGTATTTGTATTTTTTAAAAAAATAAATTGCCATAAGATGCATGCATGAGAGAGAGAGAGAAAGAGAGAGGGAGAGAAAGGGGGAGTTAGCCATGCCACAATCCCTTCTGCTTCTGTCTCCTCTAGGGATTTTGGGCATGCATGCACATGCACCTAGTGCTTTGCTTTTGTTTTTAAAGAATTATTTCACTCAACTCTATTTATTTATTTACTTATTTTTTAATTTGACCAGAGAGGAAGAGAGAGACTAAAAGAGAAAGAGAGAGAGAGAGAGAGAGAGAGAGAGAGAGAGAGAGAGCAAGCCGCTAGGTCTGGGACTAGCACAGTGCTTGGGACTAGAACCGTGGTCAACCATGTGGGACTCCAGCGTCCCTAACCACCACGCCACCTGCCGGCCCCACCCAGTGTGTTTTTCTAGCCACTGGGTCTGAGATTCAAATTGTGCTGTCAGCCATGTGGTACCCAGCTGCCTTAACCACTGAGCCATCAGTCGACCTTAAGGTATGTGTGTTTAACGGGAATTTCTGACCTAAGGAATTCCAGCCTTAACTCTGGTTGTCACTTGCTGGGAGGAAACATTGAGGACATAAGGGCTGTCAGAGCCATTTATATCAAATCCGAGGGCGATTTGGGCCTCCCAGGGGAGAGGAGGGGAGGGAGGGCATGACGGTGAGGGGGTGAACACGCTCACCTTCCGGACGCTGTAGATCCAGTCGAGATAGGCAGTGACCTTGGTGTACACACCTGGGGTGCTCGGGCCCCCGCAGCCATAGCCCCAGCTCACGATGCCCACCACCTGCCACTGGTCAGAATGATACATCAGGGGGCCTCCGCTGTCACCCTGCGAGATGCCAGAACAGGGAGGACAGGTCAGCAGTGGGGCTCGCCCTCCTCCCCACCCTGAATTGACCCACCTGCCTCTGCACTCCGCAGTGCCCTCTGCTGTTCCACCCTCAGGCCCTTTGGTCACGCTGTTCCTGCACCCCCAGAATGCTCTTCCATTGTGGGGAAAAGTGCCTGTCTGTGGCTGAGTGAGCGGTGGGGTGCTGTTAGTGCCCTCAGAGACTCACAGCACACAGCAGTAGCCGAGGGCACTCGGGAGCCTGCGGTGAGAAGGGCTGGCTGTCTTTATCCTGGTCATTCCCACACCCACGTTTCCGTGCCTGTGCTGTGGTAAGCAACTGAGATTCAATGAACGAACCCCCCCCCCACACACACACACAAAGATATCTGCCCTCAAGAAGTTTAACATCAAATGGGAGAGGGATGATAAATAAATAAATAGCAAAATGACAAAAAAATGTCAGATAGTGAAAAATGCAAGAATTTGGGTGTTCTCCTGGGCTCCTCTAGTCCCTGGGGCTTCGTCCCTCCAGACCTAGAGTGGCACTACAGCCTCTGGTTATTTATGCAGCAGACTGTGAGCTCCCTGAGGGAAGACACTGTCCCCGAAGCTCATGTGGATGGCCCAAAGAGATGACACACATACCTCTTGTGTGAAGGAATATAATGACTGAAATGGGGAAGAGAGGAAGCCTAGATTTTTTTTAAAAAGTTTTGCCAGGGGGCTTGTGTACTTGCTGGAGAGAGACAGAGAAACAGAGAGAAGCATCCCAGGGAGGATGGCCACACAGCAATCCCTTCTCCATTCTCCTCTTGGGATTTAGGCCATGCACACACATGTACCTGGCATGAGTCTCAAGCTGCCAGGTTTGGGACTTGAACTATGAAATCAGCTATGTGGGATCCTTCGTCTTTAACTTCCAGGCTATTGGCTGGCACTATCTGAATCTATTTCTTTCTTTACCTCCTCTCTCCCTTCCTCCGTTCATGACACATTGTGTGAGGGTCATTTGAGAGGCTTACCGTGGACGGTTCAGCCTCTGGGTTTTCTCATCTCCCTAGGGCCTACGCCGCTATCCTTAGAATACCCATGATTCTTGGGGGCCCCACCTGGCAGGTGTCCACGCCGCCTTCCGGGATGCCCGCACACAGCATCTTCTCGCTGACCTCCCCGTGGTACGCGTCCTCTGCATTGCACTGCGTCCTGTTGATGACCTGGACCGAGGCCTGCAGCAGCGTGTCAGACATCTTCCCTGGAAGGTTGCCAACACTCGCAAGCCCCTTCTTGTCTTCCACTCCCACCCCCAGTTAATTCTCTGGGTAGCCAAAACACTGCTTTTTGCCTGGTACTCTGGTCCTCCAGGATGGGTTTTCCCAAGAGAGTCCTCTTCCCCATGACTTCCGAGAGCTGCTCCCTCACACAAGGGTATCTCCTGCCCTGTGGTCCTGAGGCCAGCACTTACCTCCATCCTGCTCTGTAAAGCCCCATCCGACGACCCAGAGTGGGGTGGCTGGAGCAAGCTCCTCATCAAAGAAGGGCAGGCAGATGGGTCTGACGGTGTCTGCCAGCAGCAGAGGGGAAGAGGGACACCGTATTAATCACGCTTTGTATTTTCTATATTTTCTCATGCCTTGGTGTCCTGGGGATTTGCTGGTCAGGTAGAGCCCAGGTCAGCTAACTCCTAGAGATGGTGACCCACCTGCCACAGTGTGCCTTGAATACACAAACCAACAATCCAAAGCCCACATCCAAGCCAGTGTGTTTCCCCTGCGTTAAGTCACCTGAAGACAGGAACTGGATGAGAGACTGACTTCCATAGCCAAGAGCAGTATTCATGCTCTCAGATCACAAAGCATTCACACACTTGCCTCCTCTTCTTTGCCCCTCCCTTCTCATGGAAACTATAGTATTGACTCTGGCTCGTGTCTCCCTCAATCCTTCCTCCCAACTGACCCGGGCGTGTCCTCGTGTAGCCCTGGATGGCCTGGCATGTCACCTTTTCTCAGGAGCTATAAGTAGCAAACTCTTCTTTCCAAAGCAGTTGTCTCTGTGTCTGTAACCTTACCATACTCCATTAAAACAAATTCTAGACACGAATCTTGAAACAGACTCGGGGTTTGGGAGAGTCTGGCAGCTAAACCTTCTGAAAAGGCCTACCAGTAGGATTTCTTTTCTCTTTCTTCTTTCTTTCTTTCTTTTTTCTTTCTTTCTTTCTTTCTTTCTTTCTTTCTTTCTTTCTTTCTTTCTTTCTTTTTTTTTTTGTTTTGTTTTATTTTGTGAAGGTTTTTGCCATAGGGCATATATGTTCCCAGGAGAGAGACAGAGAGAGGGAAAGTGAGAACTCAGCCCCCAGGAGGATGGCCATGGCTATGTCACAGTCCCTTCTCCTCCATTCTTCTGCAATTTTAGGCATGGGTGTACATGCACCTGGTATGATTTTAAAGCCACCAGGTCCAAGACTCGAACTGCAATTAGCCATGTGGGAGTCCAGTGCTGTAACCACCATGCCACCTGCTGGCCCCCACACTAGGGTTCCTATAGCTCTTATCCTGTAGGGTGCTTAAGGATTCTGTGGTCAGATAAGTTTAGAAAATGTTTGTTAAACAGTAAAACACAGATTCTTTTGAAGAAGCCTTTATGTCTTTAATAAACTAACGCTTCCAAGAGGGAGCCTTAGTGTGAAGACATTTCCTAAACCTATCTGACAATGGAAGGGACTATGCCTTTTGAAGAGGTAGTTGGAAATGCCAATCTAAATACTGCTCAGTGTGGTCAAATAAGTTTAGAAAATGTTTGTTAAACACAGTAAAACACAGATTCTTTTTAAGAAGTCCTTATATCTTTAATAAACTAATGCTTCCAAAAGGGAGCTTTAGTATGAAAACATTTCCTAAACTTATCTGACAATGGAAGGGACTATGCCTTTTGAAGAGGTAGTTGGAAATGCCAATCTAAATACTGCTCAGTGTAAGTGTGGGGCATCTAGCAGAGAAGTTCAGAGACTCCATAGGCTGCTTTGTAAGCAAGGAGGTCTCTGTCCCTATAGGAGGGCAAACAGGGACATGATGACCCCCTGGCTAGGATGTTGTGCAGGTTCTTGGGCTTTGGTCATGGGCGGGGAGTGGGCTAGATGACCTTTTAAACAGGTCTCTATGACTCTGCATTTAGGTGAAGATGGGAGCATTTGAGGTGTTCCAAAGGGAGAAAACAGATTTGGGGAGAATTGCCAGTGGGGGTCGATGTGGAGCTTAGCTGGCAGCTTTAGGGGGGGCCTCATGGCATCAGTGAAGAGAGGCTGATAGCTTATTAGATGGACATGAATGGGCGAATTGCGGTCTCGGGGAGAGAAGTACCCAAGGCTACTTGGTGAGCTAGTGGCAGAGTGGGAGAAGGGCCTGACCTTGGGGGCTCACCACCAGGGCTCAGTTCCCAGGTTCACCTCTCACCTGAGAACAGGAGTGGTAACTGCAGCTTCACGAGAGCAATGTCCTTCTCTTTGGGGTATGTGGTGTTGGGCTCTGGGACGAAGATGGCAGCCACAGGCAGGGATGGGAAGGTGCCCAATTTGTCCGAGCCGGCCCTCACCTTCCAGCTGGACACATCCAGATGCTTCCTGGGGACAGAAGAGGCTGGGTTCAGGTCTGAGGCAAACGTGAGGAGGCTTTGCCAAAGGCTGGGTCCCAGGGCCCTGGATATCGGGGTGTTGGGCGTTCCCACAGGGGTATTTTTCCAGGAAAGGGTCTATGGCCCTGTCAGATTCTAAAAAAAAAAAAAAAAAAAATAGGGACCAGCAGTTAGCGTAATGGCTATGTCGCTGGACTCCCCCATAGTTGACTGCGGTTCACATCCCAGACCCGGTGGCTTAAAACTCACGCCAGGCGCATGTGCATGCGTGCCCAAGATCCCGAGAAGAGAATGGAGGAGAAGGGATTGCGGCGTGGCCATTCCCCCGGGGGGTGATTTCTTGCTTTCTGTCTCTCTGTCTCTCTCTGTCTGTCTGGCGAGCACACGCACCCTATAGCAAAAACCTCTCCAAAAAA